AAACTACAATTCCTTGTTGGCATGACAGCATAAAATTGCATTTGATTTGCTTTTTGTTGTTGTCGTTGAGTTCTGCATATTTTGCTCGAAAAGGCAAACTAAATTGGTGTTGAAATCCACATTGAATGGCCAACAATGCTGGTAGTTAAAAATGAATTAATAAGAACTCCAACTGGTTACAAAAGTTGCTTAAAACTGCCATAAAGAGCGAGTAAAGTATTTGCTTCTGAATTTGTTTGCAATATTAGTTTTTTTCTAAATAAATAAATTGTAACAAAAAGGATAGTGAGAAAAAAGCTTAATTTTTAAGTCCAATATTGAAACACGCTTAGCTTCAGCAAACACTCTGACCACTCTAATGAATGCAAAAAACACCCACCAAATACTATTCGAAGAGTAAACTAAAAAATGTGTTCTCTAGAAATATTTAAAGTGAAACTTTTAAAGCTCCATTAGCTGCCAAATAAGTCTAAAAAAAATTTGATCAAGTTAACAGAAGAAGAGAAGTTAAGTAAAACACTATATTTGGAATTGAATTCGTGGAAGATTGTAAAAAGGCCAGCAGGTTCGAAGAGTGAATTTCTGAATTCGATTGCATTACAAATCTGTGCTTCGAGCAGATGATGACTCATTTGTGAATCGTCAACAGAAAAGTCAGAAACTCGATTAGCTTTTAAATCACTCTCACCAGACAAAGGCTATTCCCTTGTGAGATCATTAATTCTATAGTTAGACTTCACTTTCAATTTATTGGCCGCGGAATTTCTTCATAAACACGAATTTGTGAATAATTTTGTTTTGGGTGGCAAATCAAGTGGCAGATCACTTAAAGATTTTGTGTGTGTCGGGACGGAAAGTGAATTTGATTTATGATTTATTTTGATTAATGTTATTGCTATGAACTGTAAGGAATATGAATTAAACACACACAATTCTCACTTCTGTCAGTGATCAGTGAGTGTCACATTAATCGAATCTCAAGTAGAGTCCTCGGCATATATCTGTCTATAACTGCAGGGAGACTGAATTCAACAAATGCGCACAAGTTGCAAGCAAAGTTTGGCGCGCACATTGCCCCAAAGGCAGAGCAAAGCAAATGCCATTTCGTGTTTCTTATTTTATTCTGCTGCTCTTTTTTTAGAACCAACATCAACAACAACATAGACCCGCACACACACACTAGACGAATTATATTTTATGCCACAAATTACGCTGCGGTTAACCTTTAAATTAAAATAACACCAAAACAATTTTTTGAATTGCAACGTGCGGCGGCATGGACGCGGACACAAATACGGACACGGACATGGCTACGGCTGGGGGCAAGTGTTGGGGCAACGTCGGAACTTGCAGCTGAACCGAGCCGAGAACCGCATTTTTGCGCGCGATTTTTACACAATTTGCAGTGCAGTTTCTTTTTTTCATTAACTGAGGCGAAAATATGCCGCACACACACAATCAAACACAAACACACACACACACTTACACACATTTACATGCGTATAGTATAAACATTTATATAGACGGCAGGGCATAAAATAATCAAATTAAATATAAAAATTGCTTCCCGCCATTTTTGTGCCTCACTACACTAACAGAATGGATTCGAGTTTGAATCTCTTTTCGGTATTTTCAAATATTAAAGTCTCACATAATTTCCATCCAGCTCTATACAAATAATTTGAAAAAGCTTAATGAAAACCATTCCTATATTTTGAAAAGGTTTGCCTATTTTCTATTACCAAGAGGTTTTCTAAATGCACATCAAGTTCGCTTTTGAACACTTTTTTTTATAGTTTTGTCAAAAACTATGCCTGTTCTCGAACAGCAGATCTTGTTCCTCAACAAGAAAATCTGTAAATCTTATTTTGATTGAAGCCGGTCCTAGATTTCACATTAGAGCTTAATTTTCTGTTTTTCGTTTGTTAGCTTTTCTGTTATTCTATTACAACAAATTTTTATTGGCTTTTTGAACATTTAAAGAAAAGTTAAAATAGTTTAAAAACATCTGGCATTTTACTTTTAAATATTTTATTCTTGCTTGTAAAATGACATTTGCAAAGTAATTCCCATAGAAGTTTGCTTAAAACAATACTTTACTATAAAAAGCTGGATAAATTTGTGTGCAAATTATTTGTCTGTCTGACCCAATTTTATTCACGTCCTGCACGATACGGCCTCTTCACAATTTATATACTCTTTGTTTGAAAAACTATTCTCATTAAATAAAAAATCTTTTCAACTCTAACTTTTCGACTGATGTTTCAACAATGAACTTTCTATCATCTTGTGAATCTCAAGTGAATTATATTTTATGTTTTTTCCAAATTAAAATCTACCTTAAATGCTCCACAACTGAAATCACTTTTAATTGACAAGCTATATATATATATTTGTTTGTTTATTTTTTTTTTGGAACTTTGGCATTCGCCGACGGTACTCGGAAGTAGACTTTAACAAATGAAGCAATGAAATTATATGACTCTGAGACAGTTAACCAACAAAACGAACAATGAAATATATGTAGATCTCTGTTCTATTTACCAAAAACTTATAGCATTCCTTTTCTCTGAGTGTACGCAGCGTGTGTACGACGTACAAAAGTGAAAATTATAGAAGAGCCAGCGGGCAATGAAAAATTTTTTGTGCATGTGGAAAATAAAATGAAATTGTAAATAATAAAACCACAGTGGCGTTTCGTTTGTTGCCGTATTGTGCACAAATGAATGAATGTGAATGCTATCTGTGCGTGTGTGTGTGTGTGTTTGTGTGTGAAATGTGCAATAAAATTATATGCACACACACGAGCCCGTATATATAGTATATCCCCTGGACTAGGCACATAGGAGTGGAGAGCAGAGGAGAGGAGACGCTTCATTTACAGAGTCTCGAAAAATGCATTTGATGGCAATGGAATTGAAATGGCGCGCTCTGCTGCGCCATCGACAAGCTGCGAGACCAGGACATATAGACAGTCGGACATATAGAATCGCGCATTAAGCCACAAGCGTAAATTTATGCCCAACAGCAACCACAGGCCGAGCCACATAAAAATCACCACAAAATTCCCGCGGGCACTACGTTAAATATATTTTTTTTATACTATACACTTTTTTATTGTCATTATTTTTATATGGATGGGTCCGTCCGTCGCCATTCCCAACAACGAACGAAAAGTAAAAAATATCAGAATTCAATGCTAATTACTTGGACAAATCTTGGGGCCCCAGTTGCTTCAGTTTTCTCTTTATTTTTTCATTGCTACTCCGACTCCGATTTAGCGGAAAATCAAGTTCAGTTTCACACATCTACGCTAATCAATTGGTACGAGTGGAGCGCAACTAACCAGATGCGATTGGTAAATATATAGGCGCCCTCGTTGATCGGACAGCTGCTTAGCATTTGATTTATGATCACATCTTGAACAAGGTAGACCACAACACAACTTTAAATATTTTGCGAATCCACTTCAGATTTGCGGCACGTTGTGCACGATCTATAAATTCGATCTATAGATTATTTTCAATCGCACTTTTCAAATGATATTTACGCACTTTTTGGACTCAAAATAAAGAGCAAGCAAATAGTTCTGAATAGTTCCATAAATAATTGGTTTATAACATTTTCCGATACAACGAAATTGTATATGAAATCTATCTACTTTAGAAACATTACAATTCCTATACTTCTATAGCAAAGCAAGAAGATGCTTGTAAGTAGTTCTCAAACTCCATTACAAGTGTTCAACATATCTGGAGCCAAATAAATCCTTAGGCCCTACGGTCAATAATTCAATGTCAAATAAATATTTGAAGACCGATTTCTGTGAGAGGATGTTAATCTAATTATGTTCTACAAAGTTTTAAAATCATTAATATTAGAAAGAGCTATTTAAAATTACTTTATAAGATTAATGTACATTCTCAGACTCTGCACTGAGAAAAATTTGAAACAAATATTTGAAGATTGTTTTCCTGTAAAACACTTTCAATTCGTTTAATTGAAGACTGCTTTCTTGAAACGGACTTTGAATTATTCTGATTTATAGCGATGTATGAAACCTTTTGAGATTGATTTAGAAACATTCAAAAATTCTTATTTTCACATGTGATTTGACTTCGTATAATTCCACCAATTGGATGACAGCGGAGTGATGAATAAAACGAAGAAAAACTAAACTAAACTAGTGTAGGTCTGAACTTCCATTAAGAGTCTTAAAATAAACCCGCCATTTTAATTTTGATTCAACCATAATCTTTAATTTTAGAAGCTACTTCAATAAAACAGAGCCATAAGTATTGTAAGCTTCTTATTATAAAATATCATTTCAATTCAGAGTCAATCACTATCTAAGACTGTCTCTCTATTTTTAAAACTGTTGCTGGACAAGTCATCAAATTAATTATGAAGTCAAAAATACATTTTCGCGATGGAGAGTCTAGAGTCTAGATATTCAAATGATCAAGTTATGAATATTAAAATCGCAGGTAGCCAGCAGTTTAATTATGTTATATAATATTTATTATTAATAAATGTTGGAAAGTTCCCAATGCGAGTGGCACTGTGAAAGTCTAGTTTTCGAATGGTAAGTCTTTGATAGAAAGATAAAGGCTACTGAGCCGGTTGACAATGCGAAAAAACTAGTTGTAGAACATGTGTGGAAATTGTTTAGCAAGCGAGTAATATCAGTGGCATATCAATATTCTTTAACTTCCCAAACTAGCTGAACTGTCAATACCGCCGGCAGAACAACGGTTGAGTCACAACTGACCAAATCTTTTAACAACACTAATGATATTCGAACTAATCCATAACTTATAACAATACCCCGACGCTGACAATCTGTCGGTTTTACAGACCGCTGAAAAGCCGTCGCCAGAGTCACTTTTCGAAGAGTATTTGCTTTGCCGTTTGGCGTTTGGCTTCACATTTCACTGGCACTTAGGTTCTAGTTTCTTAAATAGTACGCTAGTTATATATGGGTTGGAATCGGTACTTACCCTAGGCTGAGCCATTAATGCTCTGGGAGCGACTTCTAACCCGATTTGTGCCACTTTTAGTGTGCAAGCGATTGGCGCAACACAAAACGAGTTGTTGTTGTTGTTGTTGTTGGTGTTGGTGTGGTTGTTGTTGTTGCTTGTGTTGCCACTAGCGTCGGCGTCTGGATGGAGCTCCTTGGGCCGGGCCTCCTGCTAAGAGAGATGCACGACTCTGCTTTGCTTTGGTTATTCACTTGTTTCTTGTTATTCTTTTTCTTATATTCAAAAATATTTTTCTCTATCTGTTAAGTTGCTTGCACTTTTTTTCTCTTACTGCTGCTTCTTCTTCTTCTTCTTCTCTTCATCTACTACTCATCTACTTTAACTTCTTCTTCTTGTTTTAACACAGGCACATGTTTTGTTGTTGTTGTTGTTAAATCTTTGCTTTTAAATTTTACTTTTAGCTTATACATAAATTTGTTGTTGTTGCTGGTATACTTGGTTGTTTGTTGTTGTTGTTGTTGTAGTTACGTGCGCGCGTTACGCGTAGTTTGCAGTTGTTGTTGTTGTTATTAGAGGGGAGATCTTTTTCTTTAATTTTTTTCATATATTTATATATCGTATAAATGTTTATATAATATTTACATATATAATTTGTTTTGTTGCTTCTTCAACTTCTTCTTCTTCTGTTTGCTTCCTTTCTTTTTTTTGTTTGCGGTTTATAAAAATCGTATACAATTTGTTTTCATTTAGATTTTGTTGCTGTTGCTTTTGTTGTTGTTGTTTAGTATACTGTTGTGTTGCAGTTGTTGTTGCTTTTGTAGAGCTGCTGCATGTGTGGCCACCAGGTTGGTTTCTGTTTTTGTTGTTGTTGATGATGTTGTTGCCCCATGTAGCTGTTACTTTTATTGCTGCTGCTGTTGTTGTTGTTGTTGTTGCTGTCATAAATCCATTGCGTTGGTTTTGAAAAAATTCAGCTGCAGCCTGCTACTATGCTCTACTCTTCCTCTGCTCTGCTTCTTCGTCTTCCGATTCAGATGACGATGATACTCGTATACAAATTGTTGCTTCTAACTTTATGTTGTTTAAGTTGTTTGTTTGTTTGCTTGCTTGCTTGTTTGTTTGTTTGTTGTTGTCGTATATATGCGCACTATTTATCACAGCTGCTTCTACTACTATGTACTAAACAAAAAAATAAACCGTAAATTTTTGTTTGTTTCGCCCCAAAAACTGAAGGATGTTAAGCAACTTGCAGTTCGCAGCACTATATACTGTTATCGCATATTGTGTAGAGTTCTCTATATGCTGCCGTTCGATCTATCAGTAAAATTTACAGTTTAGTTTTAGCAAACGAAATGTGCGTCAAAGGCGTGACGCGCACACACACACGCACACACACACTTGTCTCTTCCCTTCCAATTCTCCTCTTTCTTTCTTTGTTTCGTTCTTTCCGCAACGTTTTGGCGACGGCAAAAATTTGGCGGCGGCGGCTGCGGCCGCTGATCGCGACAAATATGATTTAGAGTTGTTTTTGTTTTTGTTGTTGTTTTTGTACCGAAGGACGTGTAACCGTTATACCGAGTGTACCGAGCGGCGTACTCCAAAAACTGCGCGGCGTTTTATTATTTCAAAATTATATATTTTGTTATTTTGGAGTAAATCGCGTAAAATTTTAGAATTTAATTAGCGGCGATTGCTGTTGTGTTGTTGCTGTTGTTATTGTTGTCGTTGTCGTTGTTGTAGCATACAATAAACGTTACGTTAAATTGCTGCTCTGCAACACGGCACGGCACGGCAATAATAATAATAATAATAATTTCTCATCGACGGCGGCGACGGCTTCTCGCACAACACAAACAGCACAAGCACAAACACGTCGTACGCGTTTCGAAGGCAAATACACACTGGGGCTTGTCAATCATTTCGACTGCTTCTTGCTGCCTGCTGCTGCTTGGCCAACAACGACGACGACGACGACGTCGGCAGCCGCACACACACGACAGACGACGCAACAATTGTTCCATTAAAAAAAAAGGTGCATATAAATTTGAAAGCGGTGTGAATGCGATGGCTATACAGGCCATGCCAGTTGCAATAGTGTGTGTATGTGTGCGAGAGTGAGTTTGTGAGTATTGTGCGAGGGTGGGTGGGTATGTGTGCGGCGAATTTTGTGTGCGGTGCTGTGCTGCGGCTCAGCTGCGGCGAATTGTAATGTTGTTGCTCAGAGCGCGCTTGCGCTCTCGCCAGAGTCTGCAAATCAAAATGGGGCGAAAGGATGATGACTGATTTGTTAGTACGCCTTTTCTGTCATACACACACTTGTCACAATCTGCGCGGCCTGCTCTGCTGCTGTGCATCTCGCTGTTACCAACAATTTTTTTGCCATTGCTATTGCTTTTGCCGCTGTTGTTGCTGTATTTTTGCCTGTTTGTTTTTCGCCGCTTTTTGCGCAATGTGTCGCTCGGCTGGCGCTCAGCTTTGACTCGTCGTCACTGTTGCTGTTGCTATTGTTGTTGTTTTTGTTGTAGTCGTTGTGCGTTCGTTTGAAATTTATTTGGCTTTGGCCAAAAGGAGACGGCTTATAGGTTTTGGCTGCTGCAGCTACTGCTCTGCGCTCCAACTTGTCGCTACTTTTGCTTTGGCTGTGTCTGTGGCTGTTGCTGTTGCTGCTGCTGCCGCTCTCCGACGCTCTACTCAGCCGTTTTTATTTCAACATGTTGTTGTTGGTGTTGTTGTTGTTGTTGCCATTTCGTTGTGCGTGCGTTGAAAATCAGCAAAAACCAATCCCATTTGTTATTTCCGCTTGAGTGAGTGGCAGTTTGCATCAGTTTGCCATTCAGTCTTCTTTGGCCCGTTCGTCCGTCCGTTAGCGTCCCACCTGTGTGTGTGTGTGTGTGTGTGTGCGCATTTGGGTGTTTGCTTGGTTTGGGGTTGGCTAGCTGGCGCAATTATGAGCCTGTGTGTGTGAGTTGAACAGTGTCTCTATGTGTGTGTGTGTGTGTGCTTTCAGGTGTTTCTAGTCGTCGTATCGTTTGGGCACTCCAGACGTATACGTAATGTGGCTGCAATGCTTGTCCGTCACTTTTGGCGAGCGAGCGCGCGCGCTCAAACTTTCGCTCAGCCCTCCTAGCCTCCCCTCCCCACCCCGCCCCCTTGCGATGCGAGGCAGCACATTTCGTTTTTTTCTTCTTTTTCTTCTGCTTTTTGCGCTCTTTTCACACACACACACACAAACACACACTCTTACAGAGAAAGACAAAATAGGGAACGCCTTCAAATGGTTTTTTTGTTGTCTTTTCTTGCTGCCTCCAACATCAACATCAACGTCGCTCGTCGCCTGTCTTTGTGAATGCATTGCATTTGCCACCTCTATGCACGATCCAGCCACTTAACTGCGTCCTGATCCTGCCAGCAACAACAGCAATAGCAACAACAAAACAACAACAACAACAACGCCGATAAAAACAAAAGCAAATAGGCGCCGTGCAAATTGTAAACACGTTGTAGCCAGAAGCTCGGCCCAAAACAGCTGTTCGCTGAACTTTCTGCTGGCGCTGGCAGGCAGTCGCAAATATAATAAATCGCAGGCCGATAAATTAAACAACCCAAAATGCATATCCTGCGCAATGTAGACGCAAAAGCAAACGCAAACGCAGACGCAGAGGCAACCGCGCCGCCGCCATCGCCAGTGCCAGTGCCGTCGTGTCGTCGTCCTCGTGGCAGTTTAAAAAGCAGTTAACACATATTCCGAGGCAATTTTTCACCAACGTATTTTTGGCTGGCGTCCTTTTTGCCACTCAGCCGTCGCTGTTGACGCCGTCGCCGTCGCCGCTGCCGTCGCTGCAGTCGCACAGTGGCCCTTTCCGGCCACTCTATCTTTTAAAATCCTCAACGCAACGTATGTGTAGTTAGAAAATATGAAGAGGAGGGTTCTTGTGCTGAGCAGAGTCTTCGATTTATCAGTTGGCATAAAGACAGGAACTGACTGAGAAAGAGACGATTTTCCTGTCATCCCATAAAAATGAGAACATTGAAGTTTTTGCTTTGAATATCGAACTTTTAGTTGATGAATGAGATTTTCATAATTTCCACAGAAATAAGGATATTCAATTTTTAGAGAGTTTTGAAATGTAAAGATTAAACCTTCCATCTTTTGTAGAGGGGTGTTAGGAAGAAGAACATTTAATTACTCATTTATTTCAAAAGCGAATGAAGGTGAAACAAATTTGATTTAAAAAACATTCTTAGTATTAAAATTCTCGCATACTTTGCTAAATAAATTGTAGCTTTAGCCTGAAGGCCTTCGTTGCTCTGGCTATACATATACTTTTATATGTATCAAACTTTGTGATTCAAGATTAATTCTAAGTTACAAATGTTAAAATAAATAAATAAATAATAAATTGCAGCAAGTCCTCTTCTACACTCAACATCAAGCGCAGAAACTAACTCCGATTCACATTCCTGAGTGGGATTTGTTTCAGCTAAAGAAATACTTAATTATGGCAAAGAAAATAATAACAAATCAAATATAGGCCTGATACCAATTAAAAGATAAATCGAACAGCATTAGAGCACAGCACAATTCAAAATAGAAGCATATAGTAGTATTGACTCCCAATCTGGTACAACATAAAAATAATAGTTAAATGAATACAATTTAATCGAAAAAGTCATGCATATGCTATAGAGCCTGTGGCTATAGAGGCGTTAACTGATATCTTAAATTAAACATCGGAAATTAAACAACAACTGATCTGTTTACCATCTGAGAAATATAAATTAAACAAAAAACTTGGTTATGGTTATAGAAATATAGCAACAAAGTACAAATAATTAAGAAAGAAGAAAGGCACAGTCCACCTAATCCTGCTTCAACTCATAAGGAGATCGAACTTTCCTCAGATGGGCTGAACTCGTTGCTACACAGAAACCGAGCATTGAATTAAGACTCAAGCTTTTTTTAATCTTCCTATAAGTTCCCTTAAAATGCATGTTAATTGACGAACAACTGAACCGCGAAGAATTATTTTATGATTTTAAAAACATATTTATAAATATAGGGAACACTACACATATAATATGGAAAAGATCTTTCTGTTTTTTGTTTAGCATTCTTAAAGCTATTTAGAGTAACGAATAGTAACGATTTCTTTAGGCAATTATTGGCTCCTTTGCTACACGAGCTTAACTTCGATACTACGATCTCTTCTTGAAGTTCTGCACTAATAGGTCTGCCATATTCCGGTCCTTCTGGCTATCAGATTGCCACTCCCAAATGGCATTGAAGCTAGTGAAGAAGCGTCTATTTAGAAATCGAAAAGTGCTACGATACTGAACTAAAACATGTCCATAATTAAGAAGGAATCTCAAAAAAAAAAGGAAATCAAATTTAAGTGTAAAAAGCCTCTTTTAGTTGAACATATAGAATAACATTACAGAACATGTCAGTCAGCCAACGCTTCATATATCCTTAGAGAACTCAAACCAAAAGCTCTGGAGCATTGCAGAGTTATGAAAAGTTTATGGATGCAGACTCTCGGGCCCAGTGTTCA